TGTAATGTAGTTCCAAATTGCATTATACATTTCTCTTCTCAGGAAATAATTGAAATTTTTATGCTCATTTCCTACGGACAGTGACAATTATATTTCTGAGACATCATGACAGTTTATGTAATAGAATGCTATCTGATACTATCTGGCATGATCCACCCTGTCACATGTTAAATCAACTTACTGTGACTATCTCACTCCATGAATTTTCATTTCCATATTTAATTTCAGGCAACCAGTAAGCCAAATAATATCAAATATGGATATCAGTGCTCATGTTGACAGACTCAGATCCTTGAAGTGGTTGGCCGAGAACAAAAAGACTTTTTGACTAGACAAATAACTAACTCTGGGCCTGACACGGTGACACAGGGCCAAAGGACAGCTCTTATCAGATCAACATGTATGTGCCTGGATGTAGGGTAACACACGTAGATAATTTCATCGAATACTTTATCCATATAGGATATGTATATGTGGCATGCCACAAACAGAGGACAATATTTGCATCCTCTTTGATTGTCAACTGTATACTTAAGCCAGAAAACAGCATTTAAAGCTGCTAGTTGACAGACTAGCTCATTGGGACCCCCATCAACAAGATATCTTGGTTCCTCCATAGTCCAAGCACATGTACAATAAGAATGATCGCCAAATTTACAGCTAAAGCCATTCAACTGAGAGCTATCTATCTAAATCAGATTTGTGGATGATTTTACCTGATTATTTCATTGAATATTTTTAGATCCCAATCCACTATATTATTTTATCAGTTTAATATAGTGTAGTAGACTAATGTAGACTAATCAATAAACTGTAAACTAAGCTCACTAAACTGGTCTTCAACATGCTTGTTCTCTTTTATGTTTCTTATTGGTTGCTTATGTTTGGAATTCTGCTAAGCTTTTCATAAAACCATTTTTCTCCTTTAATACTTATATTCTGTCTCTCTGTCTCTGTCTCTGTCTCTCTCTCTGTCTCTCTCTCTCTCTCTCTCTCACACACACACACACTCTCACACACAAATACACACACTCACTCTTACATTTGCTCTCTGTGTGTGTCTGTCTTTGTCTCTGGTAGCTTTAAATTCTAGGTTGATGTTTGAATTCTTTTCTCTTGTCCCTTTCTACCTTATTCCCTCCTGTATTTGTTGCAGCCAGATGGCTTGCTTAAGGGTAGAGACTATCCTCAGTTTTATTTAAAAAAATAAAATAAATATTAATATTTAGTACTTTGAAACAAATAAATCCAAATAGTCCATTGTACTGTTTCTTCTATATGTGAAATGTTTGTATCAAACCTATGACTACTATTGGACTGATTTTTTTTTCATTCTTTTATGTATGAATATAAACTTTTTCAATCAGTGGGATAAATCTTTTGGCTCCTACAATACTTCATAAAACGTTGAAAAAGCACTACGCAACCTAAAACCATCTCTATCTATTGGACCGGATGGAATATGTGCCTACTTCTTAAGAAAGCTATCCACTGCCATAGCCAAACCTCTAAGCATAATCTTTGAAAAATCTTTCAGGACCAGCTCCTTGCCCAACCTATGGTTACAAGCCACAGTCATCCCTATCTTCAAAAAGGGAGACCCAAGCCTAGTTGAAAATTACAGACCAATCTCCTTATGCTGCGTCACCTGTAAAGTCATGGAATCAATTATTAATCAATCCATCATCCTCCATTTAGAGACAAACAACCTACTCTCCAATAAACAATTTGGTTTCAGAAAAAAAACTATCCTGTAATCTGCAACTCTTACACTGCAAAAACATATGGACTACACAACTCGACCAGGGCAAAGCAATAGACGCAATCTACATAGACTTCTGCAAAGCCTTTGATTCAGTGGTACACGACAAACTACTCCTAAAAATAAAATCTTATGGTATCTCTGGACAACTGAATAACTGGATAGAAGCATTCCTGTCAAACAGACAACAAATGGTCAAAATTGGGAACGCCCTATCAAATCCAGTACCTGTCAATAGTGGTGTTCCCCAAGGCAGTGTTCTAGGACCAACTCTCTTCATAATCTACATAAACGACCTTTGCGATCATATCAAGAGCAATTGCGTTCTCTTCGCTGATGATGTAAAGCTGTTCAATACCACAGACAATACTACTACCCTACAAAAAGATCTAGACTATGTATCTGAATGGTCTAACATATGGCAACTTCAAATCTCAACAAATAAATGCTCTGTCTTACATATTGGTAAAAAAAATCAGAAAATAAAATACAAGCTGAATAGTCAAGATCTTGTTGATGACCCAAGCTCTGTAAAGGACCTGGGAATACTCACCTCTAATGATCTAAGTGCTAGAGCCCACTGCAACTACATAGCCAAAAAGGCATTAAGAGTTGTTAACCTAATCCTACGTTGCTTTTTCTCTGGTAATGTATCACTACTAACCAGAGCATACAAAACATTTGCTAGACCAATACTCGAATACAGTTCATCAGTCTGGAATCCTTATCACGTATGTGATATTAATACAATTGAGAAAGTCCAGAAGTATTTCACAAGAAGAGTTCTCCACTCTTCTACCCGTTGTAGAATACCTTATGCCACCAGACTCGAAATTCTAAAACTAGAAAACCTCGAATTACGCCGTCTTCGATCCGACTTAAGCATGGTATATAAAATCATACATTGCAATGTCCTACCTGTCAATGAATACTTCAGCTTTAACCATAACAACACAAGAGCACACAACAGATACAAACTCAAAGTAAACCGCACCAAACTTGATTGCAGGAAATACGACTTCAGCAATAGAGTGGTCAATGTCTGGAATACTCTACCCGACTCTGTAGTCTCTTCCCCAAACCCCAAAAACTTTAACCTTAGACTGTCTACTATTGACCTCACCCCTTTCCTAAGAGGTCTGTAGGGGGCGTGCATAAGCGCACCAACGTGCCTACCGTCCCTGTCCTATTGTTTCTCTTATTCTTTTATTTTTCTTATATGTACCCATTTCATATATTCACAACTATGTATACACTTGTACTTATTATCTTGTAAACAATTGACAAATCAAATAAATAAATAAATAAATAAATAAATAAATAAATAAATAAATAAATAAAAATAAATAAAAATAATGACTGGAAAATTGAATTTGTAATGCAGTTATCAAGTTGGATGTCTGAAGATGATTTGCTGATAAAAACCTTGCTAACGTAGTCATTCTTTTCTCCTCAAATGTTGGATACTACCAAGCAATAAATAGCATTGGGTAAGCACCAATTTTCTAGTGAAATACAGTAAGGTCAGTTTAAAAAAAGCAATATCAGTATTATGCTAAATAAAGGAATTTAGGAAAGAAGAGATGAAGAGACAGAAATTGGCTCCAGGTCCTAACAAAGCTTCATAAATGAGTTCAGTTATTCAGTTATTCCAAAGTCTGAATTTAGATCTGTTACACACAGGAAATAATGGTAAGCAAAAAAAGGGCATTATTTTCTATGAAATCAAACTGCATTGGATCACATGAACTTTAAGCAGCTGATCTTGAAACATTTCTAAAATTCAATTTGTCAAGCCAATAGTATTACAGCCACCAGAAAGGGAAGCTGCATTTACACAAAATTTTTATATTTAAAACCAGGGGTGGGTTTCTACCGGTTCTGTCCACCTCTGTAGAACTGGTAGCTCTGAAGAGCAGCAGACATAGAACCGGTCTATGTCTGCTGATGTTTTTGCCCACCCACCCACCCAGGCTCTTACCTGATCTTTATTTCCTGATTTTTCAACAAGGCACAGCTGCAGTTAAAAAAGCAGGAAAACAGGGCTGTTTCAAAGGCTGCTTCTCTGCAGGCAGGTGCTGATGACGATTTACAGGCACTCGGCTCGCAGCCTGCAGGGAAGCTCCTAAATCCCAAACCGGTAGTTAACCCTTGTATCCCACCCTTGTTTAAAACTTTAGATTCTTTGAGAATACAGTAATGGGAACAGGTAAGAGCCTCCCCCCCCAGTCTACTTTTTTTTTTTTTTTAGCAAGGAGCAGATACATATTCAAAACCTATTGGAGAACCAATTTGATATAGTGCCTAAGAAGCTGAGCTAGAAACTGGAAGACTGTGATTTGAGCTGGTCAGCTAGAAAGTTGACAATTCATGTTTGAGACTTACGGGTAAGTGCTTTGCAAGAAGGTGAGCTCCTGTTATTTTCTCCAGCTCCTGCTAACCTAGCAGTTTGAAAGCATGCAAATGCAGGTAGACAAATAGGTACCATTTATGTGGGAAAGTAACAGCATTCTGTGCACCTCAGTGTACTGTATAGTCATGCTAGTTATTTGAAGTATTGTTACTCCAATGTTACACAATGTTATTTGGACAACATTGGTTCCCTTGACTAAAAAACAGAGATGAGCATCACCCCCTTTAGTCAGACACAACTGGACTGGGGAAATCCTTACCTTTTTACTTAGACATGAAACCTGGCTGACTGACTATGAGCTAGTTACTTTCTCTCAGCCCACGTCATCTCACATGGTTGTTGTTTTGGGGAAACAAGAGTCAGGAACATGTGACAAAATACAATGACTTCACTATATGTCACATAAGTCACAACTGCTTTCATTAATTATTATTAACAGTATTTATAAGCTGTCTAATTGCCTGACTCTTCCAAAATGGCTTACAAGCAATATAAATAACCATAAATAAAGGTTAGATACTATCAAACTAAGCTGGAATCCTGTTAGCCACACAAAATGTTTTCCATCTTGACCTTTCTTCACACATAGAGTGGAGCTTTCAAGGTCAATCTTGTAATCTTCTTGATCCATTCACCTTATTTGTTGTTCTCCCTTTTTATTTCTTCTAACAAAACTCACTCCTTTAAAAAAAAATCCATCATCTGCTCTTATCTGCTCACTGATCATCACCCCAACGGAACAGTCAATTTTTATGTGTAGTCCATGGTACTATCAGTAGTCTTCTCCGAATCCATAATTCAAACATGTTTATCTTCTTTCTCTTTTTCAGTGTCCTCTTTCAAGTCATACATTATTACTAGAAAATCAATTTCTTTAATTTTTCCAAACTTTATTGTCTTAGGATATCCTTATTCTTCATGATCTAGTCTAATATTGTCATTGCCTTTCTCCCTATGATTAATCTCTTCTTTATTTCTCTAGCACACTGTCCTTTTTAATTTATTATTGAATTCAAGGGAACAAAACTATCTGCCACCTTTGCTGTTCCATCCACAACCATAAATTTACTAACATGCTGGTTGACATTATATTCCTCTCCTCTGTATTTTCATTGCCCATTTTTACTTGCATATAGTTGTAACAATACAAAAACTAAATATTAAAACTACTACTCTCTGAGATCCATTACATATGTCAATTAGTAGTAATGATTGAGAGGGGGAAAATGATGCCAGGTAGGGCAAGCTTCTGGGATTGACTTTGTCTGACATTTTAAAACCATTATTTCTGTTTCCTAGGTATATAACAGCATGGTAAGTCATAAGCTGCTTTACCTGTCAACCATGCTGACTGGGGAATTCTGGGAGTTGAAGTCCACTCATGTTAATGTTGTTGAGGTTGGTATATTTTACAAAGAAAATCACTTGTAATGTAGAAGAGATGATAATATTCTTCTACACCACAAATATTTTTTCAGAGTAAGCAGAGGTTCTAAAACCATGGGCACTGTAGTACAATCAGACATTGTTTAAGACCATGATGAAAATAAAAGATAAAATTTCTAAAGGCTTGTTCCAGAAAAATTTATGGTAAATTTCAAGTTAAAATGCTTCAGGGATATAATACCCATATGTGAGAATGTTGTTTTTGTTTCGCTTGATCAAAAGTGTGAAAAAAATCTACATATACACAGTGCCTATTATTAATAAATATTTTGCAGTAATATTTATCATAAAAATGTTTAACTGCTTTTCAAATATATAAATCTTATATTTGGAGTAAGACATGCAGCTGAATGTCTTATGATTATCCTGAATATAATTAAATTAACATCTATAGCGTGCCTACTTTTCTTTTTTTCTAAAAAAAAAACACTTTTTATTAAATGCAAACATATGAGTTAACATTTCTCAGTTCATAACATTAAATAATAAGAAGACTTAATATTTCGATAACACCTTCTTTTAAAACTTCACAAGAAAACATCACTTAAATTACTTTCCTAGCCCCCTGCGATGCAGTTTCATAAAGAAGTTATGTTCGAAAATGCAAACATAAAATTGCTCCACTGAGAAAAGTACAGCCAAATCGCAGTGTGGGAAAAAGCTATTAAACAGCATGATCTTAAGAAGTGACTTGAGTCTAAATTCTAAATACGTCCACACCTTTTTCTCATTACTTGTAGTTGTCTGTTACTGACACATTCATCTGCATATAGTTGAAAAAATGGTATTTTCAGGCTCCAGTAAGACACATGAATGTGGAATTGAGAAAGAAAGAAAGAAAGAAAGAAAGAAAGAAAGAAAGAAAGAAAGA